GACGAGTTCGATCAGAATTTAAAGAGAATTTCACGTGTTGTGGAGAGAATCCGTGACTGGTGGGCAGAGCAGGGAGCGGCGGCGGCGGGCTCGAGTGGGTGGTGCCCGGAGGGCGGGCAGCATTCCCCGGGCAACGCGTCGGATACGGGTACGGGTAATTCAAGTACGGGTACGGCGAAGACTGGGAGCCAGAAGGGTGGCGAGCGGAATGGTACGACGCACATTGAGGAGGAGGAGACGGTTTACGAGCGATCAGAAGGAAGTGGGGTTGAAGAGGACAGAGAGGGACAGGTGAGGCAGAACGGAAAGCGGAGAGCGGAGGTTGCCGCCAGTGATAGCGATCAACATAGGGCTGCCAGCCGCGCGGACAGCACGGGTCCTGAAGCGATCGCAATAGATCAGAGAGGAGGAAGTCCAGGCTCAGACGTCCAGTCTTCTGGAAAGGCTTCATCTGGGGAGGTAACGCCCGAATCCGGGCAGCCGGAGCACCTTCATTCCGGAATCGAAACGAAAAATACCGGAAAAGGAGGCGTTGCCGCTGGATCTGATGACGTCGCTTTTGAACGCGGAGACAATGGAACGGAGGCGTCAGCAAGTGCGCGCCTGTCTAAAAGCCACGCCCACAGTGGGCGGAGCCATCGGAAACGAAGTATAAGTGAGCAGGTTATATGTGGCGATGATGGACAGGACGTTTTTGAGAAAGAAGGCGAAGCGACGAGAATGGTTTGTGAATATATGATAGTGGTAATTTATGCATTCAATATTTTGGCCCTTTGGCCACGCCTACTGCGCATGGCCTCAGCCCAAGCCTAAGTCTCAGCCCAAGCCTGAGCCTCAGCTCGCTTGCTAGCCTCTGTTGTAACATCGAGCGATCTGAGAGGCTACGCTTAGATGAGGCTGAGGTTACCACTTAGGCTGAGGCCCTGCGCAGTAGGCCAAGTGGCCTCGGTTGTTATACGCGAGCATGCTCGCCTGCGACCCCCCAAAGTAAACAAGTGCCGTATAATTAATATCTGTAATTAGTATTGTGTTGGGTAATAAATATATTCAATATTATTAATATGTAAAAATAAAAATTACAGAAAGCAGCAGGCAC